CTCGTCGTGGTAGCGGCGGGCCGCGCGGAGGAAGGCGGCGTCGAGGAAGGCGCGGAGGTGGGGGAGGACCTGGTGGACGCTGGCGCGGTCTTTGGGGTCGGGTTTGACTAACATGTCGAAGACGAGTTGGGCTGCTTGGGAGCAAAGGGGGAACTTGGGGTGGGGCCTGTCGAGCCCGAGGGCCTGGCGGGCGAGGGCCACCCACTGCTGCGGCTGCAGCGCCCAGCCCTGGGCCTGGCCGCGGTACTCGAGGGGCCCGGGGCCCCCGGGGCCCTTAAGACTGTCTACAACTCTGCGGCCAACGAGGACTTCGGCTATGGAGAGCCCCGCGCCCCAGGCGTCGGAGGCGAGGCCTATGGCCACTTGTTTGGCACTTTCTAAGTTTCTTTCTTTCTTAGAATGGTACTCGAGCATCTTTTGCTCCGGACTTTCGTACCAACTCGTGCCTCCGGTGAAGTCCCGCGCGCTGTGCAGGCTGGCAGTGCCCAGGTCGATGAGTTTGACGTCGATCAGCCGCTCGCTCGAGTCCGGAGACAAAAAGAAATCCAAAACTATATTATCTGGTTTTATATCATTATGTCTTATTCCTAATTGCGCGTATTGGGCGATTCGCTCCAGCGCGAGGCAGCACCAGTGCAGCTTGTGGTGTTCGTACACCGCAGCGGTGCGCGCGTTGAACGCAGAAGAGTGTTCTGTGCGAATCACATCAAAAAAATCCGGTCCTGACAATTTCCGAGTAATTAAAACACTTTTTCCGGGGTTTTTGCGGTCCAAGTAGTAGCCAAAGAGCTCGGCGCAGGGCCACGCGTCCTCCAGCCGGCGGCAGGGCTTCTGCTGCTGCTGCTGCTGCTGCTGCAGCAGCTGCAGCCGCTGGTAGATGTACAAGTGGCACTCAATCTCCCGCTTTATGCTGCGCCCGTCCCGCACGTTCCCGTCCTCCACGAACTTCACTGCCACGGGAAAGGCGCAGCCCGGCTGCTGCGGCGACAGCCAGCAGGCTCTGTGGACTTTCCTTTTGCTGCTGTTTTGACTTATTATAGTTTCTGCTTTTTTCGGCCAAGGCCGCAGCTCAGCCCTTGAGAACAGCCCGCCTTCCAGCGGCGGCCGCGGCAGCTGCAGCGGCCCCTCGGGGTCGTACAGCCGCCGGTACTGACACGGCGGCAGCGGCACGGGGCCTTTGTACGCCGCTGCTGCTGCTGCTGCTGCTGCTGCTGCTGCTCCTGCTGCTGCTGCGCCGCATGAAGGACCCTCCACGCTGCTGCAGCCAGCAGCCACGCCGCCAACCACGCTCGCTGCACGCGCAGCGACACGCACGCACACACAGAACTCTCCTGCTCCTGCTGCTCCTGCTGCTCCTGCTGCTCGTGCTGCTGCTGCTGCTGCTGCTGCTGCTGCTGCTGCTGCTGCTGGCGACACAACAGAGAACACTCGAACCACGCGTCTGCTGCTCTAAAATGCTGGCTACAACAGGGGCTGCTTCTGCTGTGCGCTGCAACAGCAGCACTGCCACCACCCAAAGCAGCAGCAGCAATAGCAGCAGCAGCAGCAATAGCAGCAGCAGCAGCAATAGCAGCAGCAGCTTACGCTGGCGAAGCTCCACGTGCGATATGTCTGCTGCTTGTACCCCTTGCTTGCACACAGCCAGTGCCGAGCTGCTGCCTGAGTCACAAACCACACAAGCAGCAGCAGCAGCAGCAGCAGCAAAGCCTCAGCAGCAGCAGCAGAGCTCTCAAGCCCAGCAAAGCTAGTGATACAAGCAAAAACGCAACAGCAGCAGCAGCAGCAGCAGCAGCAGCAGAAAAGACGTACCCAGTAGCAATGATGGCGCATCCGCAACGGCAGCGCAGGAAGCCCCGCAAGCTTGCTGCTGCAGCAGCTGCTCTTTCTGCTGCTGCTGCTGCTGCTGCAGCTGCAGCTGCTCCTCGACGCTGTCTGCTGCACCGTCCAGCTGCTGCTCCTTTGCGCCGTAGCTGCAGCCGCTTGCTGCTGCTGCTGCCGTGTGGCGCTGCTTGCTGCAGTTTTGGCAGCGCAGCTGAGTGCCTCTCGCCGGCGCAGCAGCAGCAGCAGCAGCAGCAGCAGCATCAGCTGCCACCACCTCTGCTGCTGCTTGCTGCAGGCGCTGCACGCACCTCTTCAGATGGGTTTCCTTCTCTGCCACTGCTGCTGCTGTTGTTGCTGCTGCGGTGGCGTCTTTGTCCAGCGCAGCTGCTGGCGGCGTTGCTGCTGCTACTGCTGCTGCTGCTGCTGCTGCTGCAGCTGCTGCTGAAAGGGGACTCGGCATGCACGCAGCTCTCCACGCGTCTGCTGCAGGGCTATTTTGGCTGCTGCTGTTTGCTGCCAGCAGCTGCGCCAGCAGCTCTGAAGAGACTGTCCTGCTGTTGCTTGCCGTTGCTTGCTGCAGCAGCAGCTGCTGCTGCTGCTGCAGCAACTCCACCTGCCGCAGCCGAAGCATCTTTTCCTCGTGCTGCTCTTGGAGCTGCTGCTCTTGGAGCTGCTGCTGCTGCAGCTGCTGCTGCTGCTGCGGCCGCAGCACCCTGCTGCGCCGCAGCTCAGGGTCAAGCAGCGCGTCGAGAACTTGCTGCTCGTGCTGCCAGAGGTGCTGCTGCTGCTGCTGCTGCTGCTGCTGCTGCTCGAGTCGCTGCTGGAGCGCGACGTCGTCCTGGCTCAGAAAGAGGTCGGCGTGCTGCTGCTGCTGCTGCAGCAGCAGCTGCTGCTGCTGCTCTTTAGAAGGCAAGTGCTGCCGCCGCAAATAGGGCAAAGGAGAAGGAGGAGACTGCGGAGGAGACACTTCAAGTGTCACAGTTTGCTGCATGTCAGTTGGTGTTGCTGCTGCTGCAGCAGGAGTGTCGGAGGTGTAGATTTGCTGCTGCCGCAAGCTGCAGCAGTCCAGCTCCGCCGTGCTGCTGTTGCTGCTGCTGCTGCTGCTGCACAACGCAGCAGCAGGGATGCCGCCGAAAAACGTAGAGTAAGACATTGCAGAAATATCGAGCGGTGCTGCAGCAACCGCAGCGACTCAGGCTACTGTTGCTGCTGCTGCTGCTGCTGCTGCTGCTGCTGCTGCTGCTGCTGCTGCTGCTGCTTGGAGGCTGCTTGGAAGGACAGCTAGAAGAGGAAGGCACTTGAGGGTCTTAGCGATGAGAAGAACTTTCTTTTGGAGTTTGTCATGCTGAATAAGCTGTGCGATGATGTTTGCTGCTTCAGCTCAGCAGCAGCAGCAGCAGCAACTGCTGCCAGCAGCTGCAGCAGACCTCTGCGGCGCTGTCACCGGAGCAGCAGCAGCAGCAGCAAAGCCTCCTCAGTGCATGAGGAGACACAGGGGCCTGGGCCCCTTTACTGGGGAGAACTATAGACCATGCTGCGTCTTGTCGCTGCTGCTGCCTCTTCGCTGTGCTGCTGCTGCAGCTGCTTCCGCCGCTGCTGCCGCTGCTGCTGCTGCAGCCACTGCGCCCGCTCTCCTCGGGGCTCGCTCGCTTGGCCTGCTCGCAGGGGCTCTTGAAGGGCTTGCTGCTGCTGCTGCTGCTGCTGCTGCTGCTGCTGCTGCCAGCTGTCTGTGGTCCACAGCAAGCCGGCGGTGCACTGCAACGAGCTGCGCGTACACCCCAGAGGCTGCAGCAGAAACCCTTTTTGAATCTCCAGCTTTCTCTACTCAGACAAATTCAAGACAAGAATAAAGGAGAGGAATTGAGGGGCAAAGCTACGGATTAGTTGGCCTGCAAGTGCAGCAGCAGCTGCTGCTCAGCAGCAGCAGCAGCAGCAGCAGCAGCGAAGCCGCTGCATCCCTTGCTGCCGAGAGCAGCAACAAAAAGCGACAAGAGTCCAACTAAAAAGAGAGCTACCTTTTGATGCGATTGAACAAATATTTAAAAGCGGAAGGCTGACAATAATTGGCTGCTGCTGTGTCGCCCAAGGCTGTGTCGGCGCTGCCGCTGCTGCTGCTGCTGCTGCTGCAGCAAAACAAAAATAAACGTGCCACAGAGTTCAAAGACAAAAGGGCTTTTCAAAGATGTTCCGATAGAAGAAAAGAAGGCGAAAATGCAGAGCTGCCAATAAACCCGAAAAAATGGTCTCGTAGAAGGCCGCCGGTTCGCTCGCCTGTCCGGGCAGCTGCTGCTGCTGCTGCTGCTGCTGCTGCTGCTGGAGGAGGCGCTGGCTGCGCTGCTGCTGCTATTTTTTCGCTACTGGCGAGAATCTACCTTTAGGCGCATCAAACGTTTTCAAACTTGAGACGCGTGGACAAAAGTGATGCTGCTTTGCTGCTGCTGCTCGTGCTGCTGCTGCTGCTGCTGCTGCTTCTGCGGTGTCGGCCGATGGGCTGTGCGAGCGAGAGCCACCGCAGCGTGGGCCTGGGCCAGCGGACAACGCTGCTGCTGGCTGTTTGCTGCTGCAGTTTGCTGCTGCTGCAGCTTGCTGCTGCTGCTTCTTGTTGCAGCAGCTTCAGCATGCAATCCCGCCGGGCCTCCACCAAACTTTCCTACGCTGCCGGTGCCGCCGCCCCTGCTGCTGCTGCTGCTGCTGCTGCTGCTGCTGCTGCTGCCCGTCGATGGGCCTCCGCCCCTAAGGGCCCGCACACACCTCCAGGCCCATACTTAAGAGGAAAGGCTCAGCAGCTTTGAATAAGGAGAAAGACACCAGCAGCAGGGGGCAACAAGGGCTGCAGCAGCAGCACTTGCTGCTGCTGCAGCTCCTCCCGCTGCTGCTGCTGCTGCTGCTGCTGCAGCAGCAGCTCAAGCACCTCCCTAGCGTCTGCCTAGCTGCTTCTGTCAGGTGTAGCTACAGCTCAGATATTTTTGCAAAGACACCACGCGGTGTACAGACACCCGCGCCCCAGTTGAGGTGTACGTACACCTGAAGAGCAGCACTTTGAAAGAGCTCGTGCTGCGCAGCAGCAGCAGAAGAAGCAAATGAGCAGCAGCAAAGTGCTGCTGCATGGGGGCCCTAGGGGCCCCCTAGCAAGCGAGAGCTGCAGCAGCAGCGGGAAGCGCTGCTGCTGCAGAATTATTACAGTGCCACTGCTGCAGCACGCTAACACTGCCGCTGCTGCTGCTGCTGCTGCTGCTGCACACAGGTAGGCCTTTGCCTGGACACATGGTGCAGCAGAAGCAGCAAGTCTAGTGCTGCAGCAAGTCTACTGCTGCAGCAAGTCTAGTGCTGCAGCAAGTCTAGTGCTGCAGCAAGTCTAGTGCTGCAGCAGCTGACAGCAGCCGCAGTGGCTGCGCTGCAGATCCCGCCTAAGGTCATCCGGCGGCTGAGAGTGTTGCTGCTGCAGCAGTTATTACTTGCTGCTGCAGCAATAGGCGCTTGCTGCTGCAGCAAATGGTGATTGCTGCTGCAGCACTTCAGTCTTCGCTGCTGCAGCAGCTGGTGTTCGCAGCGGTAGTAACTGGTGCCTGCGGTTGCAGCAGCTGGTGTCTGCTGTTGCAGCAGCTGGTGTCTGCTGCTGCAGCAGCTGGTGTCTGCTGCTGCAGCACCTGGTGTTTGCTGCTGCAGCAGCTGGTGTCTGCTGCTGCAGCACCCTTAGTGGTGCTGTGGGGAATCCTGTGTCCTCTTTTGCTGCCGCGGCCAAGCAGCTGCTGCCTGCGGGGTCAGGGGCCACTCAAAGATAGGGGGGCAGCTGTCGCTGCCCTGCTGCTGCTGCTGCTGCTGCTGCTGCTGCTGCTGCTGCTGCGGTGCAGCAGCAGCAGGGGGCCCCATGGGCCACTGGTTCGCTATGAAGTCCCACTCCTTCAAGACCACTGGACTTTCATGCTCGCAAGGCAGCCAGTGCATTTCTTCTCCGCGGGGCCCCACAACCAGCAGCCGCGGGACCCCCATGGTGGCCCTGCCTGGCTGCACTATGGGCCCTGCAGCAGCAGCAGCAGCAGCAGCAGCAGCAGCAGCAGCAGCAGCAGCAGCAGCACAAGCGGCGGGATGAGGGTGGGGAGGCGCTGCAGCGAGGGAGGCAGCAGCAGAAAGGGGCAGAGGGGGGCAAAGAGAGAAGAAGCAAAACAGGAAATGTGAACATGTAGGGCTTCCCTCTGCTGCTGCTGCTGCTGCTGCTGCAGCTGTTGCTGCAGCTGTTGCTGCAGCTGCAGCTGCTGCTGCCCACAGATAGCGGGGTAAGAGGGGGCTGCACTTCAGTCATAGTGAGAGTAGAGGAAGAAGCAGCAGCAGCAGCAGCAGCAGCAGCAATGGCGGAAGCCAGAAGCACAGCCAGCAGAAGCAGCAAAAATAAAACCAAGACACACACAGCCCCACCAGCAGCTGCAGGAACGCCAGCAGCAGCAACAGCAGCATTTTAGCAGCAGCAGTAGCAGCAGCAGCAGCAGCAGCAGCAGCAATAGCACCACAGCATCCGCACCAGCAGCAGCAAGCAACGGGAGCAGTAGCAGCAGCAATAGCAGCCGAAGTAGCAACTTCACTAGCAGCGGAAGCAGCAGGAGCTACAGGGGGCGGCACCACAAACCAGCAGCAGCCGCAGCAGAACTAGCAGCAGCAGAACTAGCAGCAGCAACAGCAGCACCACCACCAGCAGCACCAGTAGCAGCAGCAGCAGAACCAGCAGCAGCAGCAACAGTAGAACCAGTAGCAGCAGCAGCAACAACAACAACAGAACCAGCAGCAGCAGCAACAGCAGAACCAGCAGCAGCAGCAGCAGCAACAGAACCAGCAGCAGCAGCAGCAGCAGCATAACAAACAGCAGCAGCACAGCAAGCAGCAGCACAGCTAGCAGCAGCACAGCAAGCAGCAGCAGCAGCAGCAGCAGCAGCATAACAAACAGCAGCAGCACAGCAAGCAGCAGCACAGCAAGCAGCAGCAGCAGCAGCAGCAGCAGCAGCAGCAGCAGCAGCAGCAGCAGCAGCACCGCACCTCTGGGGTCGACGTAGATTCTGTATCGCTTGATGAGCTTGTGCCTGGTGGGAGAGTTGAACTGCAGCGAAAGCCACGGCATTTGCTGTCGGCTGTTTTCAAAAGCTGCTTCGCTTTCGTCCAAACTGACGTAAATTATTTCCACTTTCGGACGACCCCCAGCCTCGTTCACGTTCTTGTAAAACTGCAACACGCATGCACGCATGCAACGCATGCAACGCATGCAACGCGTGCATGCAATGCATGCATGCAATGCATGCATGCAACGCATGCATGCAACGCATGCATGCAATGCATGCATGCAACGCATGCATGCAGCAGCAGCAGCAGCTGCTGCTGCTGCTGCTGCGGCGCGCGCTGCAGCGGCAGCTGTTGGGGGTCCGGGGACCCGGGCAGGGTTTGCGCCGCGGTGTGCACTAACCCTATACTTAAACCCTAAACCCTAAACCCTAAACTCTAAACCCTAAACCCTAAACCCTGAACTCTGCAGCCTAAACCCTAAACCCTAAACCCTAAACCCTCTGGTTCTGTGTGAGCGGGGGCGGCGCGAGTCTTCAGCCCTGGGCATGCGAGGCCCCAATGGCGTCAAACCCTAGCCCTAAACCCTAGTTCTAAACCCTAACACGAAACCCTAAACCCTAAACCCTAACCCCAAGCCCTAGCCACCCCTAACTCCAAACCCTATCCCCTGACCCCAAACCCTAACTCCAAACGCTGAACGCTAACCCCAAACCCTAAACCCTAACGCCAAACGCTAACTTCAAAGTAACCCCAAACCCTGACCCAAACCCTAAGCCCTAACCCAAACCCTAAACCCTAACCCCCAACCCTAACTCCAAACCCTAATCGCTAACCCCAAACCCTAAACCCTATCGCCAAACCTTAAACTGGCCTCAAACCCTAACCCAGACCCTCTCCCAAACTCCAAACCCTATCCCCAAACCCTAAACCCTACCCCAGACCCCAAGCCCTCTCCCAAACCCTAGCCCCAAACCCTAAACCCTAGACCTGGGTCGCGGGCTTATCGACAGCAGCAAGTACGGTTTAGAGGGCAGCTAGGCTGCTTGAGGGTTAAACTGCACGCTGCTGCTGCTGCTGCTGCTGCTGCTGCTGCTGCTGCTGCTGCTGCTGCTTGGCGGACTTGCGCGAGAAAAGGAATAAAAGAAGAACACTTGGGATGAGTTCCCGCGGAAAACAGCAAAGCCACAGAACGCCCCCAAAGGGCCCCCGGCCCCACAGGCCGAAAGCCCTCCACGCTGAGTCCCACCAAGTCCTCCCCCACTCCTTCCAGGAAGCTTTCTAACTCCCCTGCACACAACCCACGCAGCACAAGCAGCTGCTGCAGCAGCAGCAGCAGCAGCAGCAGCAGCAGCGGCAGCAGCGGCAGCGGCGGCAGCAGCGGGGGCGGGAACAGGGGCAGGAGCAGCGCAGCACCAACAGCGGTAGCAGCAGCAGCGGGAGCACGAGCAGGAGCAGCGCAGCAGCAGCAGCAGCAGCAGCAGCAGCGGCAGCAGCAGCAGCAGCAGCAGCGGCTGCTGCTGCAGCTAAGGGCTGCCGCGGGGACAGAAAGAGGGGCGGGAAACAACGCAGCAAAGGCCCAGGCTGGCAAGTACCCTAAGCAGCAAAACGCGAGGCAGCAGCACTCCTTAGGGGCCCCATAAAGGGCCCCCCAGAGCCCCTGGAAGACCCTGGGGGCCCTAGGGGGGGCCCCTGGGGGGCCCCGAGGGGCCCCCTAGGGGCCCCCCAGGGGCCCCCAGGGGCCCTTGGGGGCCCCTTAGTGGGTCTTACCTTCGGGTTGGCCGGCCACGGTGGAGCCTATGGGGGCCGTTGAGGGAGCAAAGCCAGAACGCATGAGGTACTGCTGGCCTCTGTCGATTTTGAAGCCTTCGGAGGGTCGAGACTCTCCAGAATAGGCCCCTCTGGTGTTCCTGGGGCCCTGGGGGGCCCCCTGCTGCTGCTGCGCTGCTGCTTTTTTCATTTTTGCTGCTGAAGAAGCCCTGGGAAGTCTGTGGAGGGCAGTTGGGGGGCCGGGGCCTCGCACACCGAGCCAGTGCGGCGCGCAGGCGGCTTACCGAAGTGAAATGACCTCTTTGAAGTGAAATTAAAAGACAAAAGGCATTAATTATTATAATTAATTGCTTTATGCAGGTGAAATTCGGGAAAAACGCACGGGAATGGCACTCAGATGTGGCCAGTGGCTGTGGGCCAGTGGACCACTGGCTTGCCGAGCCGCGGCGGCTGGTCGCTTCTGGGGCCGGACCACTGGCGGTGAAAACTGGAAAAAAAGGCAAATAAATCCAAAAGTAAGAAATAAATTATTAAATAAATGTTTGTTAAAACTTAATTACTCAAAAACATGGCCCAAACAAGCAGTTTCGGCCGCTGCCGGCCGCCCGCCAGAAAGCCCACAGACAGCCGCAGCAGCAACTCTCTCTTCCTCGCAGCAAAAAGAACCCCCAAATTGCTGCAGCAAAACTGTTAGCCTTAAAAGGCTTTAGAGGCGCTTAAGAAGGGCTCTGTGGGGCCCAGCCGCGGGGCAGGAGCTGCCGATCGATTCCCCAGTTGAGGCCCTAGAGAAAAAGGAAGAAAATTCAGCGAAACTGCTGCTGCTGCAGCTTGCTGCTGCGCTGCTGCAGCAGGATACTACTGTCACTGCTGCAGCAGAGGCAGCAACAGCTTGCTGCTGTTCGCTGGGTTGCTGCAGCAGCCTACTGCTGCTGCTGCTGCTACAGCGTGGTGCTTTACTGTTGCCATCTTGCTGCAGCAGCAGCTTGTTGCTGCAGCAGCCTGATGCTGCGGCCGTTTGCTGCTGCTCGTGCAGCAGCAAGCTTTCTCCCCGATATCGGTTTGATTTGCTGCGAGGTCTATTTAATCAGCTGCAGGGCCTTTGAGCAGCAGCTGCTGCTGCTGCTGCTGCTGCCCTCTAAGGCTTTACCTCGCGGGAGCCGATAAACAAAAGAACAGCAGCAACAGCAGCAGCAACTGCAGCAGCTGCAGCAGCAGCAAATACGAAGGCCCCGCCTTTGCCTCCCGCGGGAAATAAAGGCAACAGCAAAAGAAGAAACAAATCTTAAAAGCAAAAAGGCCTGAGCTCACACAGAGGCAGCAGCAGCAGCCAGTTGCTGCTGCTGCAGCAGCAGCAACTGGCTGCTGCTGCTGCCTCTGTGTTTGCCCTGCAGCCCCAGTTCTGCCCTTCTTTTCTCTAGGCAGCAAATCAAAAGGAATATAAAGCCAACAAACATAAAAGGGGCCCCAGCCCCCGACTTCTCTCCAAAGCCCCTACCTAACTTAAAACGCAAGGGGCCCCAGGGGGCCCCAGGGGCCCCCAGGGGCCCCCAGGGGCCCCCAGGCCCCCCCAGGGGCCTCAGGGGCCCCTAGGGGCCCCCAGGGGCCCCCAGGGCCCCCCAGGGGCCTCAGGGGCCCCTGGGGGGCCCTGGGGGCCCCCCAGGGGCGGGACTCCGGGGCCTGAGGCCCCTGGGGGGCCCTGGGGCCCCCAGTGGCCCCCAGGGGCCTCAGGGGGGCCCCAGGGGGCCCCAGAGCTTCTAGCCGCCAAGAGCCCCTCATACCCCTCGGGCCTCTAGCCTAAGTAGGCCCTCTAGCGCCTCTAACCCGAAGGGGCCCCAGGGCCCCTAAGGCCCCTAGGGCCCCCAGGGGCCCCCGAGCCCCTGGGGCCCCCAGGGCTCCCCAACTCCCTAAGAACTCTAGGGCTCCTGGGGCCCCTAGGGAGCCTAGGGCCCCCGGGGCCTCCCCAAGTGCCTAGGGCCCCCAGGGCCCTCAGGGCCCCTGGGGCCCCTAGCGCCCGTAGGGCCCCCAGGGCCCCAGGGGCCCCTGGGGCCCCAAGGGTCTTTAGGGCCCCTGGGGCCCCTGGGGCCCCTGGGGCCCCCAAGGGTCTCAGGGTTTGTCTGCCCAGGAGTCCCCCACTCTGCCCTCGGCCTCGCAGGGGACTCTTCTTAAGAAGAGGCTTCCTGCCTCCTTCATCGTACTCAGAAGCAGGTCCAGGCCCTGCATGCAGCGCAGCACAGCAGCAGCAGCAGCAGCAGCAGCAGCAGCAGCAGCAGCAGCAGCAGGGTCGCTCAGTCTAAGACAGCCGCGCCTAATCATGTCTTGGGCCCTCGATGAAGGGACAAAAGGAGCCAAAAAGGGACAGGCAAAACAAAAAAGAGATATTTAAAATATATATTTATTTCAAAAAAGATTTTTGAAAAAAAATGTTTGAAATTATTGCACTGGGGCTGTCCATGCGCGCCCGCGGAGTGTACGTACACCCGAAAGAGGGAAGCAAATAGAAGACGCAACAGACAATTTATTTATTCATTTAAAAATAAATGAATATTAAATAAATAATCAAGGAATAATAAATAAATAAGTAAATAGAAGAATAAATAAATAGACAGACGACAGGAAAGAAAAGCAAATAATGAAGAAGACAAGGGAAGCAGAGAAGCAAATAAAACAAAAAAGACAACAAAAAAGATTAACAAACAAGATATTAAAAGGAAGCAAATAAAACAAAAAAGACATTAAAAGGAAGCAAATGAAAACAAAAAAGGCATTAAAAGGAAGCAAATAAAACAAAAAAGACATTAAAAGGAAGCAAATAAAACAAAAAAGACATTAAAAGGAAGCAAATAAAACAAAAAAGGCATTAAAAGGAAGCAAATAAAACAAAAAAGGCATTAAAAGGAAGCAAACAAAACAAAAAAGGCATTAAAAGGAAGCAAATAAAACAAAAAAGACATTAAAAGGAAGCAAACAAAACGAAGAGTCATGTGGAGGAAGAAAAGGGGGAAACTCTGCAGCAAGAAAGTCAAAAAAGAAAAAGAAAAAACAAACCTGCTGCTGCTGCTGCTCCGGCAGCTGCACTATTATCTCGTCGTGCACACACATCACCAGCTGCCCCCGCACTTGCGGCAGCCGCAGCAGCAGCAGCGCGAGACTCTCTTTCGTTATGTCTGCTGAAGTGCCCTGCAGCACGCAGCAAACCCCACACTTCCCTCCACCTCGCTGCTGCTGCTGCTGCTGCTGCTGCTGCTGCTGCTGCTGTTGCTGCTGCTGCTGACCCTCTGCGTGCCTGTCTTATGTTGCCGCAAGCTCCACACTTTTGAAATCGCTTGATCCCGCACCACCCTCAAACCCTAAACCCTAAACCCTAAACCCTAAACCCTAAACCCCCGCATGCCAACCCACCTGCACCGGGTAGTTCAGCGCCTTCGTAAACGAAAAAGAGTCGAAGCGAGCCCGACGCCCAGACCTCGTTCTCGTCTCAAGAGGCATCTGGCGCTGCACCGCAGCAGCAGCAGCAGCAGCAGCAGCAGCAGGTAGCTAGGCGCCGGCTGGCGCTGCGCGTCGGAGGCAGCAGCGGAAGCAGGGGCAGCAGCAGCACAGGAGGAGCCGCAGCACCGGGAACACGCCCAGCAACGTCAGCAGCAGCAGCAGCAGCAGCAGCAGCAGCAGCAGCAGCAGCAGCAGCAGCAGCACACCTTTTGCTGCTGGTGCCAGCGAGTAATGCCCTTGTAGTGCTTAAAGAAATTGGAATGAAACTTTTGGGCCTCCGGCAAAGTCAAAGAAACCCCATAGGCTGACAGCGCGTACTCTCGGAAGCGGGGCACGCTGATGCCTGCGCACAGCAGCAGCAGCAGCAGCAGCAGCAGCAGCAGCAGCAGCAGCAGCTGGCATTATTATTAATCGCAAATAAGATTGATTTATAAATACAGGATTGGATTCATTCACGAAGGGTCCTTATTCTTTCCGCAGCAATCCAGCTGCGCCCAGAGTTATCTCAGGGCAGCACAGAGCTTGAGCTGCAAAAATGCTAAGGTGCTGCTGCTGCTGCTGCTAATGCTGCTGCTGCTGCTGCTGCTGCTGCTCTTGCTTCTGCTCTTGGCTGGCGTGCTGCTGCTGCTGCTGCCTACCGTAGATGAGGCCGAAGTTCACTGCCTTTGCAAGTTGTCTGTCGGCCTTCGTCAATTGGGCTTCTGGCTTCGACAGCAGCAGCGAGGCCGTCAGCCGGTGCAGGTCTCGGCCCTGCAGCAGCAGCAGCAGCAGCAGCAGCAGAAGCAGCAGCAGCAGCACCATTAGGATCGGCGGAGCTTGCAGCTGCAACGCCACCGGCGACGCAAGGTGTAGCAGCGGCAGCACCCACACAGGACAAACCAGTCTACGGGGTTCTGCTGCTAACTTAGCTGCTGCTCGCAGCCACAGCAGCAGCAGCAGCAGCAGCAGCAGCAGCAGCAGCAGCAGCGAACCTTTTGGTACGCCTCAATCATCCTCTCATCGCCGGCGATGTCGGCTGCAATTCGCAGCTCAATTTGGGAGAAGTCGGCAATAACATATTTCCACTTTTCTGGTGCTGCTCCATCTGCTGCTGCCGGCGAAGCTGCTGCTGCTGCTGCTGCTGCAGCGCCCGCAGCTGCTGCTGCTGGCCCGGCCTGCCCAGCGACCTCCCCGCGGCCCCCCGCACGCCCAGCAGCAGCAGCAGCAGCAGCAGCGGCAGCAGCAGCAGCAGCGCTGGAGAGCCCCTGCTGCTGCAGCGGGAGAGGAGCAGCAGGAACGAAGCAGCGGCGAAAAGATGCTTCTCGGGGAATTTGCTGCAGGTTCGGAGAGTCGCAAGAAAAGCGGCCGCTGCCGGCCCCACACTGGTGCAGCTGCGCGTGGATCCGGCCTGTACAGACACCCCAGCACACACCGCATGCAGCTGCAGCAGCAGCAGCAGCAGCGGCAGCAGCAGCAGCGCCAGCAGCAGCAGCGGCAGCAGCAGGAGCAGCAGCACGTGGAAAGGAGGCTACGATAGAGGCCCAAAGAGTTAAGAGCAGCTGCCGGGGCCCCCTGGAATGCCCCAGTTGGGGCCCCTCAACAGCAGCTGCAGCAGCAGCTGCAGCAGCAGCAAAAGGGAAACAGAAAAACAAAAAAGGAAAACAAAGAGACAAAAGAAGCAGCAAATAAACATAAGAGAAGCACACAGAAGACACGGGAGGCCCCAAAAGCGGCAGCAGAGAGGGGGGCCCCCGGGACCCTCAAGGACCCCAGGGGCCCCCAAGGGCCCCGGGGGCCCCCAAGGTCCCCAGGGGCCCCCAAGGGCCCCCAAGGGCCCCAGGGGCCCCCAAGGGCCCCAGGGGCCCCCAAGGGCCCACAAGGGTCCCAGGGGCCCCCAGGGGTCCCCAGGGTACGAGGGGCCCTTAGGGGCCCCTGGGGCCATCAAGAAGCCAGAGCGACACAAGAGAGGCCCCCTGTTGAGCAGCAGCAGCTGCAGCAGCTGCTGGCAGCAAAAAAAAGCAGCAGCTGCTGGCAGCAAAAAGGAGAGGGGCAGCAGCAGCACCAGTTTTGGGGTTAATGTGTTTCGGAAGTCTTTCAACAAAAGCTGAAACAGCTTTTGAAGCTTTTCGGAAGTTCCTGAGAGCTGCAACAGCAGGAAAGTGGGACAGCCGGCTGAGGGTTTCGTCTCCCGTTTCCGTCAGTGTGTGCGGGCCCAGCTCGCCTGCTGCTGCTGCTGCTGCTGCTGCTGCTGCTGCTGCTGCTGGTGCTGCTGCTGCTGCTGCTGCTGGGCGCGGGGGGGGGCGCTGCTGCGCGCCAGGGGCGTGGGAGACGCCGACGCGACGCAGAGCTTCTAAGATTTGTCTTTGGGAATTTAAATTAATTGTTGCTGCTGTTTCTCCCAGCTGCTGCAGCAGCTCGTTTGCTGCTGCCTCCTGGTCCTTCCGGAGTCGATCCGCCAGACGATCCCAGCACGCCCTGTCCAGCGCCATCCCGGTGCGCTCCATAGCCACCACTGCAGCAGCAGCAGCAGCAGCAGCAGCAGCAGCAGCAGCAGCGGGAGCAGCAGCAGCAATAAGGCCGGCAGCACTGGCCACGCTGCAGCTAGTTGTCACAGGCAGCAGCACGAAAGGGGGAGACGCCCGCGTCACACTTGAGGCTGTTGCGCAGCAGCCCAAAGAACTTAGGGTTTAGGGTTTAGGGTTTAGGGTTTAGGGTTTAGGGTTTGAGGTGCTTGCCAGCCGGCAGAGTGCGGTGCTCGAGGTCTGCAACGCGCAAGAGCTGGTGCTGCTTCAGCCGGCGGCTCAGGCGGTCGTGCAGCGGCAGCAGCACTGCAGCATCCCTGCAGCAGCAGCAGCAGCAGCACAGCAGCAGCAGCAGCAGGGATTGCGGTGCATGCAGCAGCAGCAGCAGCAGCAGCAGCAGCAGCAGCGCAACGAAGAGCGCGTGGCAGCAGGCGCACCCCGCAGCTTCCCTCTGCGTCTGCCTTACCCGGCGTCGGCTGTGGAGGGTTTAGGGTTTAGGGTTTAGGGTTTAAACCCTAGACTCAGGGTTTAGCGCTTAGGGTTTACGTGCTACTAACGGACAGAGTTGAGGGTTTAAACCCTAGTACTCAAAGGTTTCGTGCTTGAGGGCCACCGGAGTTTAGGGTTTAGGGTTTAGGGTTTGAACCCTGGGCTTTGGGGTTAAGGGTTTAGGGTTTGGGTAGCTGGATGTGCATGGCAGCTACTCATCCTTCAGCGGGTGCTGAACCCAGTCGCTGGCCTCTAAACTGTAGGCCCTAGGGTTTAGGGTTTAGGGTTTAGGGTTTAGGGTTTCGTAGAGGAGTTGTTCCTCGTGGAGCTGCTGCGAGTCCCAGTTGCTGCTTTGCATGCGTTTGCGCAGAACCTAGGCTTCAGTGTCTACACTATAAACTCCACGCCTAGGGTTTAGGGTTTAGGGTTTAGGGTTTAG